TCCACATGCTAGAAGAATCTGAAGTCCCCTGCCTCGATCCTTTGCCTCTTAAGCAGGTCCACGTCTAAGAAACCTAGGGAAATGCATTTCTTTTCAAAATTTTCCAAAGATAGAGGGTTCCAAATCACCTTCAAGTGTGTTTAAGTTTCAGTCACCCTGACAGCCAAGTTCTTCCCTGTGTCTAAGGAAACTCCTGGGTGTAACTAAAGTTCACATTATCTGATTACACCCACTTGCCCATGAGGCTCACCTGCTCTTACATTATAGAGGTTCAGGATGGAGCGAGGTTTTTTTTCATTTTCTTCCCTATTGTCTGCCAGGGTGCTATCCATGAGTGAGCATTTGTAAATGCTAGAGTGGTGGTGTTGGTAATGTGCCTGGAGACGGGTATTCTGATACCACTGAAATGTTCTGTTTTCATTTGCACAAATTCCTACTGGCTGTTAGAAACATAACTAACTGGTTCTGGTGCCAGACAAGCCTGAGCTCAAAAGTTATACAAATTATGTCTAATTAACTCGGGAGCTTTCATTTTCCCAATTTATGAAACGCACATACAATCGATATCAAGTTTAAATTTCCTGATATGCATAAAGTGGGTGTCCAGTGCATACTATCCTCTTTCCTTTTCTCTTTGCTTCTACCATAAACCTTGTAAAACCTCAACCCATATCAATTCCTTGCAATATTTTGTTTGTTTTTAATGACTTTCTCTATAAACTACATTTTTTAAAAGACTAAGCATTTCTTCTTGTTAGATGCCGTCTAGTCGAGTAAAACTCATAGCGACCATATGAACAGTGGATCTGAACTCTGTCCTATCCTGTACCATCTATACACTTCCTGACACACTAGAGCCCACTGTGGCAGTTACTATGCCAATCCACCTGGTTGAGGGGCTTATTCTCCTTTGTCAACCTCCATCCTTCCCAACATCATGTCCCTCTCCAAGGAATAGCCCCTTTTAGCAACATTCATGAAGTATGTGAGGTGAAGCCTGTTCATTTTTGCCTCTAAAGAGCACTATGGCTGCATCCTTTAAAAAAAGACATATTTATTTGTTCTTTTAGCAGTCCATGGGAAATTCAGTACTCTTCTCCAATACAACTAAAAGGCATTAATTGTTTTGTCATCCCTATTCATTGTCCAGCTCTCAGATGCATAAGTGATCAGAAAGACCATGGTCTGAATCAGACTCACTTTAGCCTTCAAACTGACATCATTACTCCTCAATAATTTCCAGAGGTCCCTAACTGCAGATATTCCCTGTGCAATACACATTTATTTATTTCATAGTAATATAATTATGATCACAATAATCACTAATCTTTACTGGACATTTACAATGTGCCAGGCACAATATCAACTCTGTTGTTGTTATTTATATTTTTAAATTTATTACCTTTTAAATTATTAAAATAATCTCTTACTACATGCATTTAATACACTCATGCTGGAGATGATGCCATAGAATCTTAGAAAGGTTTAGTGGCTTGACAAGCTTATATTCAGAAGTAAGTGGGAAGAAATGGACATCAAAGTTCTGGTTTGTCTGTCATCAGAATGAACCCTTCCTCCTAATATTGTTCCTGACTGGCTCAATGTGGCTCCACGGCAATAATTAAACCCAATCCAACCCACTATTTTCAAGTCAACTGCAACTAATGGAAATCTCCTGCAATATAGAGTAGAACCACTCTACAGAGTTTCTGTTTCTTTGCCTTGTGGCTGTAATCTTTACGGAAGCAGATGGCCAGGTCTTAATTCTGTGGTACTAATAACTAGGAACAAATTCTCAACCTCTGTGTTAGTTGTGTTGTTGCTGTTAGGTACCATAGTCAACTTGGCTGTCAGGGTGACTGAAACTTAAACACACTTGAAGGTGATCTGGAACCTTCTATCTTTGGAAAACTTTGAAAGGAAATGTCCTACCCTCGGTTTCTTAGACGTGGACTTGCTTAAGATGCAGAGGGTTGAGCCAGGATGTAGCCAGACATTTTTCACTTCCTTCCCTATTGCCTGGCAAGGTGCTACACATGAGTGAGCATGAGAGGACTTGACCATGACCCATAGTGACCCTGTGAACAACAGAGCGGAACCCTGCTCTCTCCTGTGCCATCCTCACAAACTCTGCTATGTCCAAGCCCATTGTAAGAGTCCCTGTGCCACTCCTCCTCTCTGGGGGTCAGCCTCTGTTCCTCACCCAGCATGGTGCCTTTTTCCTAGGACAGGCCTCTCTTGACAACAGATTGGTATTTGTGTACAAACTGTTTCCGTCACCTAGGGACCCAGTCAATGTTTAACAGAGGTTATTTCACAATCAAGGAGCATTGGTGATGCAGTTAAGTAATTGGCTACTAACTGAAAGGTCAGTGATTCAAGCCCACAAGCTCATGGGAGAAAAATGTAGTACAGACTACATTCCCTAAAGATTTACGGTCTTAGAAATCACATAGGGAAGCTCTCCTCTGTCCTACAGGTTTGCAAGAGTCTAAATCAACTCTATGACAATGTGTTTTGAGTACTTTACATTGTAAGCTATTGCAAAATTATGATCTCCAAGTCTTATTTGCTTCATTGTATATAAATACCACATTGACAACCTAATGCCAATGGGATGAATTCTATGAAATTTGGCCAAGGTTTGATAAAGTTGGCTAATATTAGCACATAGCATTCAATCAGGCAACAACAACAACAACAAAACTAAAAAAAATAACACAAAGATCACTAGACCAAAGAGGAATGTGATTCATTTTAGAAAGCACATGCATATAAATGGTTTTGTGAAACTCAAGGTGAATGAAGAAATGTGTGAAGCACAGTGTAAATGACTTAAATACAATGTATAATCATATTCAATGAAAAAATTAAAATTGAAAAAGTACTGTAAATTAGATACTGTATTTTGACCAACTGATCATAATTCCAGATTAGTTTATCTGATTTTATATAAGAGTTTTGCTGATCAATGCCTTACTAGGCAATTAGATAAATGTCAAAATTGACATACAATTTAGGAAGGCCAAGCAGTCCAATGTTGTCTACCATGGTTTGCATGAACAGCAGCTTCGTAAACTCTGAAGAAACAAACAAAAAAGACATAGTTAAAAAAAAAAAAAAAGGAATGCTCTCTAATTCGGTAGGTGGAGGGAGGAGGTAAAGGAAAAGGGAAAGATCCAGCAGAGACTTGTAAAGACAGGGTAATGATGGGCATAGTCCAATGGTGAATAATTTTATAGAACATAACCCATGGAAATGATTGGATGAAACACAATGTGAATGAAAAATAGTGTGAAATAAAATGTATACAAACTTTGTAAGCTAACTAATATAAAATATATATTTTTTTTAAAGAAAGGAAATACTCTCAATACATGATCATCCAAGTACTCCACATTCAAGAAATTGTAGCTGTTATTATTGTCATCATGACACTTATGCAATAAACTTATTCTCTAAAAGGAACTGGTCATAGGATAAAACATCTTCAAAGCCAGAAGACCAGATTCCTATTCCAATTCTGAACTTAATGGCCCTGGAATACTGGGTAAGTCTTTTAACAGCTTACCACCAAATCTTCATCTGTGAGATGAGAATGACTATACTTTGTCTTTTAACACAAAGTTGTGGTGAAGACATCTTGAGATAAAATGTAATGAACACTAGCAATGCCTAAGGCAGTCTACCAATATGGGGGGCAAGGGGGGGTGGATTATAATAGCAGTTCCCTTTAAGATAAAGATATAAAGGAGATTCTTGATATTATCTTTGATAAATGTATACATGTCCATAATTACACCTTTACCAATGCCTCTCAGGCCAATATATTTGTCTGCAATAGCCATATGTCCTCCCCCTTAGGAAACTAACAATAAAAGTAATTGGAGAGTAATTATTGAAATTCATACTTTAAAGATGAGAGCACATTGTGGTGTGCTATTCTTCAGTAAGCTAGTATGTTATATAATTTTATCTAATTTTTTTTAAAAAGGACATTCAGGGGTCCATTGAGAGTACCACATAAACCCAATTCCTATTTATATTTTGAAATCAGTGCATGCTCTTCAGATTCTTCTAGCTTAAAATAATATATGGGCTTTTGATTATTCATGATATTGAGAAGGATGCATAATTATAATTCACATATAATATACTTGCTTCCATTTAATTATTAAATCTAACATCTTTCCCAAGTAACATTTTCTTTCATCTGGTTGACTTGGTTTTTACTGATTCTTCCTAGGACTTCTACGAGTTCATGTAAATAAGCAGTAGAAAGGCAAAATAAATAAACAAACATATTTTAAAAGCAAGCAGCAGGAGGGAGATAGGTTAAAAACCACAAGCTGAATAAACTGTCGTAGAATAATTGGCTGGAGTAAAATGAAGGCCTTCAAACACTTGTTTAGCTCTTTGAGGAAACAAAATGACTCATTGCTACATAATTTTCTAAAACTGTGATCTGTCAACCCAAAACCTTTTGCGCCTCTATTTCTATACCATGAGAATCAGAGGAAAACTCAACAGCAACTTATTACCCTGGATGGTATACGTTCACAGCATTTTGTAAAATTTCTCAAAACATACGTTTATTCTCATCCCACAAATACTACTCTGATATCAGAGCCCCTTTTGGTGCATCTTTGGCTCTTGTTGGTACCTGAACAAGTATAAGATACAAAGCTAAAGCATTTTTGTGTTTCTCTAAGCACACATGGCGTTGTCATCAATCAGAAGATTCAATGACAAGTAGTTGAGAATAAAGGCCTGGTGATCCACTTCCTCAAACCAGCCAATGACAGGCCTTTGGGTCAGAACGGTCCGGTTCCCATCTGACCATGAGGATGGGTGCAGAAATACAAAGGACAACATTACTTTGCATTGTGCACACGAGGTCGCCAAAAGTCAGGGCCCACTTCGTGGCAGCTAACAACAAAAATGACACACATTTTAGGAAGTGCTATGCTTAAAGCTTACATGCCACGCGCAATACCAACCTTATGGTCATTCATCTTGTAATCGTTAAAGAGAGGCTGGCTGCCTGTCAGGGTGTAGGCGCTGCCCTCTCTGAACACGCTGATCCGCTGAGCAGTCAGCTTTGGGGCGTACAGTTGGGGTTTGGGGGCTTCCCCAGACCCATACACACCATCCATTGGTTCCAGGGACTCTTGAAGAAAACTATGAGGATATTCCTCCCTTGGCGACTCTAATTCCTGCCCATCCTCAAAGACCTGCTTCAGCACTCGGCCACTGTACGAGGAGGAGATTTTAAAGCGCACTTTCCGGGGTTTGCCGTCGTTCTTCGGGTTGAGCTTCTTCTCGGGGTCCTCCATCAGCAGAAGCTTCACTCTGTGGTTTCCAAGACTCAGTGTAGCTGGTGAAACGCGGGGCTCTGAGAAAAAGGCATTTTATTTTCTCTCCTCATGCATATAATTAATTCAAGCTGGTGCTGGGCTCTGCTCAGCTTACAGCAACCGACACCCACAAATTAAATATTAATAGCCGCTCATGAGAAGACAGGTGATTGTGACTTTATGGAGCGGATGGAGCATAAGACAAGATTGGATGCCTTCTAAGCCTAGGTGCATTTCTAAATTCACTTCCATACTTTACTTTTCTTATCCTGATAATAAGGGACTTTATTCAGACTGAACAAGTAGTTCAGTGAGAATGGACGAGTACTCAATCTGTTAGCAAGTCGTTTGTGATTGTTACCAGTAAGAACCATGATTTATTGAATATTTAATATGTGTCAAATATTGTTGCATTAATTATGTGACTTAGTCATCTCCACAAAGAAAGCATGATAATCTCCATTTTACAGAAGGGAAAACTGAGACTCAGCTTTCCTTGTTTTCTACTCTATTACAGCAAAGTAAAGTGACAACAAGATTCAAATCCAGGTCTTAAGGGTCCAAAACTCATTAAAAGTCCTGGAAGTTGAACATTTCCAACTGATTTTCCTAGATTGCTGTAAGTTTTAGAAGTTGGCTCTAGGAGCAGGAAGAAGCCAAGGGCCCTGTCTTCTAAGCCTTCCATTGTTAGACATCATTAAGAGGCCCTCCATTCATGGCGCCCTCATCTATAAAGAATTAAATATTCCCCGAGCCAGGATCACAATCATTTGTATGTTTGCGCTCACTGTTACAGCCACTGCACCATTAGTCCATATCATTTTCCATGACCCTGAACTTCACCAAACGGGACATCCTTTCCTAGAAATTGGTCTTTCCTGTTTATGTATCCAATGAAGCAAGACAAAAGTCTTACCATCCTCACTTCTTTTTTTTTTTTGCTTTGTTTTTATGAAGATTGTATATTTTCCATTTTTACCATTTTTAAAATTAATTATTAATTTCAGTGAAAATTTACAGAGACTTTGGATTTCCATTCATTCATCGTCACACTTTTCTCCTATCCCAACCCTCCCCCCTAGTACACTACCCTCTTGGAAAAGTAAAAGAAAAATTCTTTCATTGTTTTACAAACCCTTCCCCAGGTCCACTCCACTATGCAGCCTTCACTCTGGACTCCTGTCATGACAAAAATACCTAATCATATATCCCTTTTAAGCAGTTTTCTCCCTCATCTATTTCAATGCAGTATACATGATTGAACCCATCTTTCTCAGTCTCCTCCCAACCCCGAGGTCAGTCCTGTTTTACAACAGTGGTACCATGCAGTATTTATCCTTTTGTGACTGAGATACTGCACTCAGCATAATGTCCTCCAGGGTCACCCATTTTGAATAATATTGTATGAGTTCCTTGTTTTTCAATGCAGCGTAGCATTCCATTATGTGAATATACCACAGCTTCTCTATCCATTCGTTTGTTGATGGGCACTTGGGTTGTTTCCAACTCCTTGCTATTGTGAACAAAGCCACGATAAACATGGGTGTGCATATATCTGCTTGGGTGACAGTTATTGTCTCTTTGGGGTATATTCCCAGTAGTGGGTCAAATGGTATTTCTATTTGCAACTTTTTGAGAAAGCACCATACCGCCTTTCACAGTGGTTGCAACCATTTTACACTTCCACGAACAGTGAATAAGGTTTCCAGTTTCTGCACAACCTCGCCAGCATTTGTTGCTTGCTGTTCTGTTAAATTTTGCTATTCTGACTGGGGTGAGGTGATATCTCATAGTTGTTTTGATTTGCATCTCTCTTAGAGCTGGGGATTTTAAACATTTCTTCATGCATGTGTTTGTTAGCCATCTGAATGTCTTCTATGGTGAAGTGTCTGTTCATATCCTGTGCCCATTTTTCTATTGGATTATCTACCTTTATCTTGTTGTGGTGCTCAAGTATTTTATAAATTCTAGGTATAACCATCCTCATTTCTAAGGAGTACTCTGGCTACATTTTGGAAGTCCACAGCATGTTTACTATTTCCCACCAACACCACAGTTCAGGTACGTTTATTCCATCTCCCCTTTTTTTACCATTCAACTTTGACACACATTAAGGCAGCTGAAAAGACCATAGGTTTAGTAGGCACATGTTAGTCATCAAAGTAACATCTAGACCTTCTGTCCACCAGAACCTGCATCTATTTCCTATCTGAGGCTTTGTTTGTAAACATAAGGCCTCAATGTCTCCCTCTTGAAAATACACACACAATTTGTGCTGTGAACAGGCCCTAGTGCCCAGCACTGTGAGATAATCACTGAGAATAGCATCAGAAAAGTATGAGATATGGCACCCAATAAAGATAGTCCCACAACCAAAGTTAGGAAATAAGATTAACAGTGTGAAATAATGACTGCTTCCTGCAGACTCATAGAATAGTCATTCTAAAATAAGCTCTACTCCTCAGGAGATCAGCCCATTAAGGAAAGGGGTCTTGGGTTGAAAGAATTGGTTGTAAGAATTGGTTTGGTATAAAAACAGTGCATTGGATGTAGGAGTAGTGGTGTCCAGCCTCAACTAACTTCACAAAGGAAAGAATCCACATCAACAGCACTAATGGAACAAAGAAAAGTCCTATGAGGTTAGGCATGCCCCATATTCATTACTCCTTCCAATAATTCTAACACTAACTCCCTACCACAGCACACGTTATTTCTTCTCAATTCAATTCAACTCACTGTCATTCAGTAGGAACTGACTCAGAGCTGACCCACCAGCCGGTTTTTTCAGAGGCTGTAAATCTCATAGGAGAAATTGCTCATCTTTCACCCACAAAGCAGGTAGTGGATCCGAACCACCAACCTTTGCATTGATAGTGCAACTCCCTTTCTGCTAGGCCACCAGGTTACTGCTGCTAGATTCAACAATTCAAGTGCAATATTCAGGCAGAACTCACAGACAGTATTCATTATTATGGATTTCATTATGGAAGTTACAGGTTACAAACTAGATACAGGAACACTCAGAACACATCCTCTTCTTAGCTGGCTTGTAGGCTGGCCTCTCCTTGACTCTTGGCTGCATAGTCTTGGCCTCTTCTCTGCTTGCACAAGTGTTACTCAACTGCTTTATCTCTGCCAGTTTTGTGTCATCCCTATTTGTTAAGTGAACCTAGGCCCAAAGAGCTTTAGCTTTAGCTCTAAGGCTAAACTAACAGATCTAACTCCCTAGCAAGTTACTAGGCACTCACTCCACTAGCAAGTACATACTCACTTTCTCACATTGTGAGTTAGGGGCCCGCAACTGTTTCACACTGTTGCCTGATTCTCTTCTATCTCTGCTGCTGCTGCTGCTGCTGCTGCTGCTGCTGCTACCACTACCTCTGCTGTCATCCAGGCAGCCATCGGAGCTGCCATGTCATCTTGTGTCTTCTCTGTCTCACGTCTCAGGGAAATCCTCACACCCAAAGGATGTACTGCACTTTCTAGTTTGTCTTTCTTGATGGCAATGAGGTTCCCACTCTCTGTCACTGTGCCTGCTCGTTTTAAGGCTGATGGGATAGCAAAACTGACTGGTCACCACCTTAGCATTCTGCATAACTTATTTGAGCACGTGACGGAGCACTCACTAGTGGCCTAGGTTACAGAGGGTTGAGCTGATAATCCCAAAGTTGTACCTCTTTGGTGGCTAAAATCCACCAACAGAAGAAAAATGGACAATCTCTTCTCATGTGATTTACAGCTGGAGGAGGATTAGGTCTGTGTTAGTCCCAACTTGACAGCAATGAGTGAGTGGGCAACCCAGCCATGTGATGAAAGTAACAATGGCATTGAAAACATAGGAAAGGTGTGATTGGAGAAGTGGCATGGTAGAGGTATAGATTTTCTCTTATTTTTTGCTAGTGGAATTATCACATATTTGCCCAAATTGATCTCCCCTGTACATCTAAAATTATTTCATTGGCGAAACCTTCTTTCACCCACCCTAATCACCGTGGCTTTAGGTTGAGTCCACATCCCTTCTATTTTGAAAGTTGCAGCTTTATCTTAATGAGGTCTCCAGCCAGCCACAATTTTCTCCTCTACATAAGTGCCAAAACAATGTTCCTGCAAAACAAGTCTGCAGGTGTCAATCTCCTACTTAAAAACATTTTCTTGTAGTTTAGGGCATAAAATGTTGAGTCCTATCTCCTCCATAAAACCCTATGGAGAAGATGTGTTCTGTAACAAATAGTCTCCATGAATTCACATCAGCTGGACAGCAGTCGCTTTGGTTTTTGGTTTAAGTCTTCCATGAGACAGGTGGAGTTCCTCAGCTTTATTCTGTGTTTCAGACACACCAATAGCCAAGCTCACTCACATCTCAAAACCACAATTTTTATTATTGCTGCTTCCTGATTGTAGTATCAGACTTCTGCTCCTCCAAGTAACACCTCAAATAACGTTGCTTCTGGAAATCCTTCCCATCAGTCTCAGGGAGAATTTCATGGAACTTTGGCCCTAAACTACTGTCACACAAGTGCTTCTTGGGTTTTTTTTTGTGGGGCTTTTTTGTTGTTTTGTTTTTTCCATTACTATTTTTCAAATGCATCACTCCACTCCATTAAACAGTGAAAATGTTAGAACTGTCTTGATCATATCTCTATTCCCAGTGTTTATCACAGTGTCTGAGACATGTTGTTGTTGTTGTTAGGTGCCGATGAGTCAAGGACAACTCATGGCGATACTATGAACAAAATATCTGAACCCTGTTCTGTCCTGTGCCATCCTCACACTTTCAGGCACACAAGAGCCCATTCCAGAAGTTACCATGTCAATACACCTGGTTGAGGGTCTTCCTTTCCTTTGTCAATCCCCTACTCTTCCCAGCATCATGTCCTTCTCCAAGAAATAGCCCTTCCTAGAAACATGTCCAAAGTATGTGAGGCAAAGCCTCGTCATTCTTGCCTCAAAAGAGCACTCTGGCCGCATCCTCTCCAAGA